GGCGACGGTTTTGAGGGATTTAGGTTTCGGCTTATGGTTCAGGGGAGTCTGGAAGCCACTGGAAACCGCAAATCTTTCTCTCGCGCACGCAAGCTTTGCATTGTAATGCAACTGCCATCGCTGCAGAACGCGTCTCGAGATCGTGAGGGAGTGCACAGCGCCCTTCACAACCTTGGTGATCTGGCCCACATAATCTTCTTCAGTCCAGCAAGAGCCCCAGCGTGGGTTGAGTCTCGAAGTGAGCATGCGCAGCACAAGCTCGCAGTGAAATTGATGAAATTTGGGCCTCAGCTTGTATCTCGGCCGCCCTGAGTGCAGCGCTTGCTGAGCAAGGGCCGTATATGTCTCCACGTAAACACGGCCCGCCCTTAGGTTTGATAGGGTTTAGGGTTTAGGGTTTAGGTTTAGGGTTTAGGGTTTAGCGTTTAGGGCTAAGGCTTTGAAACACGAAGCCCTGGAACGGAAATCCCAAATCTTTGTGGTCCAGAATCTCCACGAGAGAATTTGCTTCGCCGTCGCTCAGCCACATAGACGCCCGATCAAGAATGCCATTGTAACGGGTTGCAGCCCACGCGCAGACAGCCTGCGCACGCAAGTCGGGCACGTCCACGTCCTGGAAAAACCAGGGTTAACTTGAGACAACTCCGGAATCTTGTCCAGCACTTTCATCGTAGAGGCTGGTTTTGCGGTCTGGGGCGTATAAAATATGGGGGCTTTAAGGGGTAACTATAAAGGTACAAAAAAATTCAGGGCCTGCAAAGACCCCAAAAACCCTGAAACCACACAGATGGCAGAAAATGAGATGCGACATAAACCGCTCACGAGGGACGTGCAGGCGCTGTGCCAAGTACGAGATCCTTGGCCAGGGTTTGAGATGTTTGGTTTAGCTTCTATAAACCTCTCCTTAAGTTGCACATGGAGACACTGACTATAATGTAGTGGTGGAAAAGCCGAGATTCATCACACGATTTGCGAAGGCTTTTCCAAATCCCAGCGGAAAATCCAGAGTAACGGCATCCACCGACAACTTCAAGAGACCTCGGCCACACAGGAACCTGTTGACTGCCAAGCAACTCTACAATAACAATTGAAAGCATGAGAAAGCAGACCAGGATACTGAGCGTTTCGATGGTGGAGGGGCGTATTCCCTGTTGCACACACCAGCGGTGCACATCTCCAGTCAAAGCCTCGAGGCGTTCATCCCATGTCGGCAAATGTTGTAGTGCTGGCCACTTTTCCACGACATCCATAATAATGGATCCCACACAATCTCGGGCCGTGCCCAACCATAGGGCGTGCAAAAGGTCCGCACATTCACACAACGGACTGAACCCGCGGACAGTGCGAAGCCTGCAGTAGCCAACATCCGAAAGCGATCTCGTTACGACCGGAGGGTGTGACACTATAGGATCTAGTATCAGCTTTAAATACAAAGCATAAAAGAAAGTTTTTCCTCAAACTTTTCAGCTATGGGGCCAAATGTTCCCGACACCTGTGAGTCGATCTTGACTAGAAATTTAGAAAAGGTCCCTTTCGATCGAAGCTACCAACTTACTGAAAGCATATGTCCAGGATACGTGTCTCGGCCGCTGCCCTGATGTCTGCCGCAGCGTTGAAGCGCTCTCTGCACGGATCCAGCCATGGTCTGTCAGAATTCGGTTTGGCAGAGGCCAAGCACCGTGGGCAGATCAAGTCTGCGTTGTTGTAGCGCCGGTCCATATGCAGCCAGTCCCGACGGAACTTCCAGTCGCCCTTGTGCACAACCAAGTGCATAGACCAACCGTCCGTAGCAGCATCGCCCGGCAAGTTGCATCTGTTGAGGCTCATCGCAAGGCTTTCTTGCAGCTTGTCCAGTGTCACGTTAGTCCCATCCTTGTAAAAGAAGAAATCGGATTTGATGACCTTACGCAAATGAAACACCACGAGGATTGCTCTTCGTGTACATTGCATGTGAATCACTGCAAATCAGCCGAGGCGCACAAAAGGGATACTTCGACATCATGGCAGCATCGTGGACTGCTAGCGGTGACCAGCTCAGAATCATTACGCTCTTCGAGCGTTTACCGGTCCCCTCATCACCATGTAAGGAGATTGCGATAGCCTTTCGCCTGCTTTCCTCAGGCCAGGATTGTACTGGATGGGACCTGAGCACAATTAAGCTAAAAACTTGAAACTTGCAAGAATGCGAATACATCAAAGCTGTTGCAGACGAGGCGCGCGCCCCAATCCTCAGAGCGGGCCTGGTGCCAGAATTGACACCAGTCAACATCGCCACTCCTCAGCTTGCGAGAAACAAACTATGCAGAAATCTAAAGGTATCTCCGGTAGGATTTTGTGCACGACCAGCGTCAAGCGGTTCACCAGACCGGCGCGCACCATGCATTGAAACATCTGGTGTGGCAGAAACACTGGCCAGGTCGCGTGCACAGGAGGTGTGTCTTTGGCATGTCGAGATTTCTTCTTTGGCGGAACAACACGCGCTTTGGCTTTCGCCTTCCCCAAAGCCTGGCGAGCACGGAAGCTCCTAGAGCGGCGCGCTTGCGCCAGCAATTTCTGCTGTGTCTTCAGGTCCCTCACCAGCACATGCGCCCCGGCGACGGGACACTGCAGAGCAACCTGATTTGGCTTAAAAGGGATGATGCGGCCTAGACTTGTGTATAAACCTGTAGGGAGCAATACCCCACAACACCAGAAGACAGCTGAGCTACATCCCGGCTTCTGTCCATTGCCCTGTGCAACCGCTCTTCGATGTGCTGGGGTCTGGAACCAGCCGCGCCCAATGTTGCAGCCCACGCTGTGCCTCAGTCGCAATGGATTGTGTACGTGCATCTTGCCTTATTGCTGGTTGGATTTATCCGCAACCAACAGTGTATATACAGGGGTGTGTGACATCTACAGACGAAGCGCTGGATGATACATTGGCTTCGCCAGCTTCTGCCACAGCTGCATGAGAAACTGTCTGCACAATGGAAGCCGGCTGCCCCTGCCCCACTCGCAAAGCCAACTCTCGCACGAGAGGTGACCTCTTCAAAGAAAACCTGGAACTCGAAGGTCGAGAGGCTGATGTCGAAGTTTCCGCAGTGCTGTCGGACAGGCGTTTTTGAAACCGCTTGATGCGCTGAAACATGTGCCGTGCAGAGCAACACGGAAAAGCTCTGCATGGCTCGATTCTTGACAATACATCCCGGAGAGTTTCAGTGGTCAGCGGGATTGTTTCTAGTAGCACATCCTGAAGACTGCATACCAAGAGTCTAGGATAGGCTCTACTGCAGCTGGGTTTCTACCAGCATACCAAGACGAAAACGGGAATATACAAACGTCTTGCAGGTTGGAGGCTTAAGGTTTACGGTTTGGGGGTCAGGGTATCATAGGATTGGGGTTTAGGGTTTAGGGTTTAGGGTTTTAAGGTTTTAGGGTTTAGGGAATCATAGGATTGGGGTTGCAAGTTGCGGCTGGGCTTTGCTTCACATGTGCGCGACAAAAGCTTTGCAAGCAAGCATCTACAGAGGACGGCATGTGACTGGTACTGTAGCAGCGCACTGGATAAAGGAGCATCAGCTAGCACGTGGTTTTCTCGGCAGCCTGTCCTTGTTGGCAGCTTCCCCTTGAAATTGCCAGTGCATGCACTAGCAAAGTGGCGAAAAACAATATCAGGATACTCCTTCCTGCCTGGCACCCACGAACGACTTGAAGAACTAGG